CTTCAATTTGTAATGCATTCCCGACTTGTTTACAATTACTTAAGAATGTATCTAACTGATCTGCTACTAACCAAATCAGCAATTCGTACCCACTATCATTATTAATTGATCTTAATATTCGATTGACAAATTGCCTGGCTAACTGAGTTTTGCCTGTTCCTAAAGCACCACATAAAACAATTGTATGTTTCTCTTTAATGAGTTTTTCTAAATTCTGATCATAATCTCTTTGAACGTAAAGTGGATTAAGTAGCGGCAATTTTCCAATAGCTAACATCTGAACCATTAATATTATTAATCACAATTAATATCAATGCGCAGTTCTGGAATGAATGTTTTTTTTTTTTATCGATATTCGATGTACATAATTTATTATGTAAGCAAGTACATCTGTACGGTACCTTTTACTTAAAATGTTAAATTCAACGAAAATGATAAATTTTGATTTGTCAGGTAATATTTAGTGTATTCTCGTGAGTTGCCACTTTGCCTATTTTATCCAAATGAAATTTCTTGTACACACCTCCAGTTATTGGATCCCCTAACACTAAATACTATTAATAATCAAAATTGATTTGAAATCACATGTAATTTTTGCAGATATACCATATATTGGGGTGTGCACAATCAGTAGATTGACAAATATAGTGCAGGTCATATAGTAAATTCTCATAATACTGTAATACATTTTTTTTATAAATCAACGATAGTGATAGTAAAATATATAAAATTCAAGCCGTAATAACTCTTGAACTAGAAAACCCACACAAATAAATTGTATTCATCGAGTTTGTGTTAACATACTTTTTAAAGTAATAACGCTCTTTTTTTTTGTTTTCTTATCAAATATCCGATATTTTTTATCTTAAACTGAAAGTGCTGTAAGAAAGTTGGGTTACACAACATGCAACGGTGCAAACAGAGATTTCATTGTTACGTTTTTGATTTTTTTTATTAAAAATGCATCAAAAACGAGAAATTTGCATAAAAATTGAGAGTCTTCCGCAACACACTAGACAATAAAAATAAAAAAATAGCGTTATTACTTCAAAGAGCATGTTAAAATGAACTTGACAAATGAAATTTTAATTATGCGGGGTTTCTGGTTAAAGAGTTATTGCAGTTTGAATTTTATATGTTTTTTACGTCGATCTATAAAAAAATGTATTGAGAATTACTATATGACCTGCACTATGTTTGTAAATCTACTTATTGTGCACACCCCAACCATAATATATATGTAAAGCAAAGTTGTGTGTGGAATCCTATACGTAAAAACTTTGTTCGCCGATTTGCAGAGTACCCAGAATTCTAGAAGTAAATTAGTACCAAAATAAAATTATATGAGTGCTGTCAAAACTGTAAGCAAAAAAAAATTTTTTTGTGCGTATTAGGCTTACCGCCATCTCTAACATAATTTGTATTTAAAAAAATTGATCCATCATTTGTTAACAGTGACGTTTTATAACAATTCCAATACATATAGGTTTCAATTTGGCAGTTCTCGTATTTATACCAAAAAGTTCATAGCGATAGAGTTTATTAATGATAATTGAGAGCGTAGTCTGATAATGTACACATTTTGGTTATTCGGCAAAAAATGATAGTTTATTTTGGTTATTTGGCAAAAATTGATACGTACATAGCTTATTTCATTTTATCGAGATGTACTTTGCTATATACGTCGTACGTCGGAATGGAATTATTGTGGAACTAGAATCTACTTATGTTGAAACGGAATTCCAAATATAGTCCAAGTTGATATGAAAGTTAAAAGCAACTTAAGTTGA